TTGTGAAAAACTCACCACCAAGGGCTCGGCCCTGGAGTAGCTCTCTATGAATAATCTGCCCGTCATCGCGACACTGGAACTGTCAGTTCTCGAACATGTTGTGGAGCTTCCTGGTACACTACACCAAGCCAGTCTCGGGAATGACGGAACTAACATTCACGTTGGATGCCCCATACGATCCCTCCGAGCAGACTGAATCCAACCCTCAGCACGATACCATACATGTTACATTAGATGTTTTCGCTGTTACAAGAGTCACGATGGACATCGACTCATGAATGTCAACAGCTGCAACACTATCATCTAGCCCCGCACGAAGAGCCGTCAGATCGATAGGCTTGAAACCCGTCCAAGGTCAATGAAACAGTGACCTCCGAAGTCGCAACGACGTCAACAGACATCCCAAACTTCTTGAACACATTACCTACACGCGCGCGAGAAACCAATGCTGTCCGAGTATTATTGTGCTCCGGACTTCAAGAAGCGTTGTGTTGCCGCGCTTCTGCTCATCGCAGCGAAGTGGGTGCCCCGTTTTCTTGCTTGCTCAGAACAAGTCCCTGGCCGACTGCCACAAGCAGACACACTGACTAGTTCTGTCTGGCGGACGAGCGTCTGCATCAGATGGTTAAAAAGCTATTAATTGCCATCACTGGTGTTAGCTCTGGAATCACGTTGAGTCATCACATTCAGGGCTTCGACACCGTCCAGACAAGCGCTTGCAGCTACCCCTCCTAAAACAGCGATAGAGCCCCAAAAACATAATGTGCCAGGAGTCTCACATCAAAGACAGTACCAACAATAATGCAGTGATGGCAAGTATGACAAACATCATAGTATGATTATTTCCATGTCCATCACAGGTCAAGAACGAAAATGGTATTGCATAATATGGTAAAACCAGTGACTTGCTCGTACGACCGAAATCGACCGCGAATGATGGAAACAACAGTCGCAAACCTAACACAAGCCGTAACAAGCTGTGGACCCATAACAGAACACCTCAGGGTCACGTTACTTGCAGGCTCACCACACATCAGGGCGGGAGGTGATAGTTAAAGGCCCCCATCATCTGCAAACGCAGCTCAAAGACAAATATTGGGCCGAATGCCACCAATAAGCACACTAACAGTTTCTGCCTGGTCAACGAGCATCTGCATCGAACGGTTAAAAAGCTATCAATGGCCGTCACTGGTATCAGCTCTGGCATCCAACTTAAGCATCACATTGAAAGCTCGCTCCGACGCAGTCCAGACAAGCGCATGCAGCTCGCCCCCCCCTCCCCCCAAAGACAGCCATAGAGCCCACAAAACATAATGCGCGAAGAGCCGCTCGTGAAAGCCAACAGCAACAATAATGAAGTAATTGCAAAGATGGCGAAGACCAGAGTTTGGAGCTTGTCTTTTTATTGGGGGGGTAAAGCCCGTTACGGGGAGGGGGCCCGGCCCCAAGTTAGGGGTAACGGTAACGCGCGGCGGGGCCCTCGCACGGGCCCTAATACTTATTACCAGCACAACTGTCGGCACGGTAGGTTTCGTCGTCGTCGTCGTCGCCGCTGTCGTCGTCGTCGTCGAAGCCGACCGTGCCTGTGCACACTACACAGGCTCTGTACACCGCGATGCCTTTGTACACAACAACTGCGGCAGGAATGATATGTGTGTGCACCACGGCGACTGAGCACATCATGACACGCGGGTGCACCACAGCGCCCTTGTACATCCCACTGTTGGTGCACACCACGGCGCCCGCGTGCACCACAGCTGCTGTTTCAACGCCCCGTGTTTGCACGAGAATGCCAGCGTACACCACAAAGCTTGTGTACACCTGTAAGGTACCGGCGGAACGAAAGTCCAGAAGATCGTTCGGGGCCCAACCGTGGCCCTTTCATTATGTGAGCCGCTTGTGGATTTTATTTTTTCTGGTTCAAAAAGCGCTCGGACCTGTTGAGCCCACAGCGCCTGTGCACTCCATTGCGACTGTGTACATCATGGGAGTGTGAACCGTGGCGCCTGTGTATACCACGTGGCACGTGTGCACCACAAAGTTTGTGTACGGTTTTTTTTGTGCGGAATGTAAACCACGCACCGCGGGGGCGCGCGGGGCAGCGGCAGCCTAGGGAATACAGGAAGCAGGAGTTCCCTGCACAGGCACAAGGCCCTTGAGACATGGGTCGACGGCTGGAGCGTGCACGCGGGTGCGTCGTCGTCGTCGTCGCCGTCAATTGCGACGGCGACCGGGGGGGCGACGGCGGCGGCGGCGGCGACACGGGCGGCGGCGACGGCGACCACGACGACGACGACGACGACGACGACGACGACGACGACGACGGCGGCGGCGACGGCGACGACGCCGACGGCGGCAAGCGGCGGCGGCGGCGGTGAAGGTGACCGCCGCCGCCGTCACCGCCGTCGTCGTCGCCGCCGATGCCGCCGTCGCCGTCGCCGCGCCGCCGTGTCCGCAGCCAGTTGCCGAAAGCTTCAGCAGCGCTTGGGGCCCACTTGCTGGATACACATGCGGGGGGCTGGCGTGACCAGCCGCGCGAGGTAGGAGGGCCGAGCGCTGGAAGGACACGCGGCCACTTCCGCGTGCAGGTCTCGCCCAGTCCAGCCCCTTGCACCAGCACAGGGAGCATGGAGGGAGGACAGCGGTAGTGGTCATAATGATTTTGTGAGAATGCACCGGCTGGTTGCGCCATGGCTTGCCCGATGCGTTACACCACACGTTGTGCTTGCGTACAATTACCTGCGCCATAGGTTGAGCCGTAAGCTGCGCCATAGGATGCGCCCCCAGGGCGTGCCATAGCTTGCGCCATAGGTTGCGCACCCAGGGCGCCCCACAAATCGCGCCTTACGTTGCGCCTCAGGTTGCGCCCTCAGGGCGTGCCGTAAGTTGCGTCGATGGTTGCGCCACAGGTTGCGCCAAAGGCGGGGCCACTTTGTGGCGCTGCGTTTCAACGGAACTCCTGGTGCGCGCACTGTTCGGGGAAACGTCGTGCTGGCAGGCGGGCGTCGGGACTCCGGGTGCAGCCCGCAGGATAATGACAACGGACGCGGCAGGGATGACGACGACCATTCTGGTCCTCCTCCTCCTCCTCCTCCTCCTCCTCCTCCTCCTCCTCCTCCCTCTGCCTCGCTCCCCCCTCCCCCCAGGAGGTGAGAGGAGGTGGAGGGCACGAGCACTGGAGGGAGTGCAGAAGCAAGGCGAAGGAGGTGGAGGGGCCAGGCCGGAACCCGTTGAAAGGTTCGCGCCGAGGGATGCGAACCTCGAACCTCGAGGATCGAGGCATCCTGGCCCTCGAGGGCCTTCGTCGTCGCCGCGGCTGGACGCGGCTCGGGAAACTGGTGCGTCTGAGCCCCACTCGGGTCCCGTGGACCCATTTTGAGTTTGCGCCGAGGTTCGAACCTCGAACCTCGAACCTCGAACCTGAGCACACATGTGAGCGTCACAGCATGCCTGCCTGGACGGAGGGGGGGTCCGCACCCCCGTCCCCGTACGCTCGTTACCATTACGGGGGGGGGGAACCCCCCCCGTAACGGGCGTTGCGGGTCCGAGCAATAAAAAAACAAGCTCCTGGTTAATTCGATGTTCACCGCGTATCAGGAAAGAGAGTAGCAGTAACAAATTATCCTCTTCTGCCAAGGCTTCGCACAAGCGAACTCATTCGCGAGTGGAGAAAGACAGTGACAAGGCCTCATGCGAAACAGGGGAATATGACATAAGAGCGAACAGCAACAGAAGTTGGTTGAGCCTGTATCCGTCACACATCAGGGCAAGGAGCGATAATGAAAAGCCCCCATCGCCAGACAACGCCACTCAGCTCAGAACCAATTGCTCGGCCGAGTACCGCAAGCAGGCATACAAAATGATGATTATGTCCGGTCAACGAGCATCTGCCTCAGACGGTTAAAAAGCTATCCGTGAACCATCACTGGTGTTAGCTCTGGTAATTAAACTGAATCAGCACCTTGAGAAGCTCCGACGATGTCCATGTGAATGCACGCAGTCCATCTTCCCAAGACAGCTACAGAGCGCAAATCACAGAATGTGTCAAGAGCCGCACATGAAAGCCATTAACCGCATAGCAGGGAAAAGCGTGATAGTGAATGGCTGGCACAACCTGTCATCGATTCGTCTGGACTAGCTCCTTCGCAAATGCTGAAAACACTCACAGGCCTAATGCAAGCCGTAGCCATGTGGGCACATAAACTAAAAGCATGAGAGCCTTGTTAATTCAACATTAATCACACATCGGGATGAAGAGTGATATTGAAAAACCCGCCGCATCCGAAGTAACCGTCGCTCCAAAACCAATCATCGGCCGAATGCAACGAACAAGCACGCACACCGCTCTGTTCGATCAACAAACACCTGCACCACACAGTTAAAGCGAAAACAATGAGCAACACTGATGTCAGCTGTTGTTTTCGGTAGCATCAGCACATGCAAAAATCCGACGCCATCAGGACAACTGCACCCAGTCCATCCCACAAGACAGCTTTAGAGCACAACGCACATAATGTGCCAAGAGTCGCACGTCACAGCCAACGCCATCAAGAACACAACGATGGCACAGAGGCCAAGCCTGACAATCTGGTGGTTAGTTCGATGCTCATCGCATGTCAAAAAAGTCAAGAAAAAACGTTATAATGAATGGTTCGCATGCCGTGTCACCGCTGCCTGCGAGAGAACTCTTTCGCTAAATCCGACCAAACACAAGCCGTAACAAAATGAGCAGGAAAATGAGCATATAAACAAACAATGTCAAAGTCTGAACGCTTACATATTCGTCACGCATCCGGGCGAGGAGTGATAGCGGAAGGCCTGCCGCCAGCGCCAGGCCCGAGTGCGCCAGGCCCGTTCGAGGATCTCTCGGGTCCCGAGCGGGGACTTCCCTCCCTCCTCGGCGACAAAAAATCCGGCGTCCCAGCACCCGCAGCGAAGCCTGGTCGGGAGCCCGGCCCCTCAAAATGCCCCCGCCCCCGCCGCCCCCCCCCCCGACAGACCGAGTGCGCAGGGCCGTCGTAGTCGTGGAGCCCGAGGGGCCTCAGGTCCTGCTTCACGGCCAGCGCGAGCGTGCGCAGAGCCTTCGGCGAGGGCGGGCGGGACGCGGGGGCCCAGCAAGGAAGACCCAGGCCTCCGACGCCGTGGTGTCTGCTACGCCGCTGGGTGCCTCAAAAGAGAGGGGGCTGCAACCCCCTCCCCACACAAATGATTGGGTTCAAATCGCAGGATCTCCCCACATCTTCAATATGTCCTGGATGTTCGGTTTCCCCTCCACTTCCCCTATCCACGACCGCACGGCACCGCATTCCGAGTGAACCCTGGCGGATGAGCAAATCGACGTCCAAAAACTACCGAGCGCACTTGGCGAAAGAAACGCCGATTGGCGAAACCGACTGACGGAGGGCCGCACCGGTACACTACGAACGCCACTGTGGAGCGAGCTGGCGCAGAATTCCTACTGACTTGTCTGGGCGTAGTGCGTTTTCCCATTGACCTGCAGATACGTCGTTTACACCATGCAGATTGCACACCATACCTTATACCACGTAGCATGCACCCCATAGCTTACACGACAAGGCTTACATCACAAAATGATTATCGCATGCATTACACCACGCAGGTCGGACCATATAGCTTGCACCCCACAGCTTGCACCACAGAGCTTGCCCCACACCACATAGCTAACACCATGTAGATGGCGTCGCACAGGTTGCGCCACATAACGTACACCAAGTAGCTTGCACCACATGTACTACAACACAAACTTACACGGCAAGGCTTGCATCACATAACCCAAACACCCACAGCGCAAGAAATCCGCTTTTCGGGGCACACGCTGGCAAACATCGTCTTAGTCGTTTTGGGAAAGTCGCCCAACTGTGGCCCCAGGAGGGAAGTATGAGCATCAACTGCGTAAACATCAACTGTCGGAGGTCCGGGCGGGCTTCTTGGATCGGCGCTGGACACCCCTCCCTGGCGCGGAGCGCGCCAGGGGGCGGCGACGGAGGCGCCGCCAGAGGGGTTCGGCGCCGACCCAAGAAATCCGCGCGGGCCTCCGAGACTTGAGTTTACGCCGCGTTCCCCACCCGGTGCCTTCAGGAGGGAGTTCTGCTTGTGCCCCTGAGAGGCTGAGTTGGAACGGCGACGATTCGCCTGGTGCCCGCCTGGCGGCCGCCCACGGGCACCTCGGGGGCGCCTCGTGTTGGGGGCGCCTCGTCGAGGTTTCGCCCGATCGCGAGGGGGGAAATCAAGCAGGGACTGGCCGTCCCAGCGCTTCTGCTGGCGTGCCACGACCATGGCCCTGGAATGCAAGAGATGTTCTAAACACAAGAGCAACGTTTGAGACGCACGCCTGAAACAAGACTGACGCAGCCAGAAATGTTCCAACTACTTGCTGCACAGGACCGCCACAAGGTTATTGTAACATGTTTTGGTGGGCTGATAGGCTGGCCAAAACAATTCGTCACTAACGGGGACCAATCCCTGGCGTTACGGAATGTTCATCGACCCAAAACTTGTAGCTCAACTCGGGGATCTACGACGGGGGGGCGTCCGTCCTCGATAAGAGTGCGTCCGAACAACCATCTGGGGGTGTATCCCCGAGTCTCCTCCCCGCGCGCCCTAACTTGTCGGGCGCAGCGCGGGGATAGGAAACGAGAAATCGCCTGCGAGTCATTGCCCGAGGCGCTGCATGAACAAGGAAAAAGGACACCACCACAACCAGGGACCACCAGCGGGAGGAGCCAGTGGGAGTCCCCCTGGTGGTGTGGTCTCACCAGCTCGAAGATGCATCGTTAGGCAACCACATGTGACCCCCACGCCTGCAGGTCTGATTTCGAAACGCTGGCTGGGGTTCAGAATTCGAAGGATGCCTGCACCCGAGTGAACCCCAGCGGAGGTGCCCCAGACCCCAACGTCGACACGACCCGTGGGAAGATGGTTCGCAAGAGGTCGCAGAATCGTGGCTCTCCTCGCTTGAGGCGGCCCCCCTGGCATTGTGGAGGGCCCCCGCGTCGGCACGGCGAAGAGCGCGCGTCCCGCGCACAACTCCAAAGCCCACGCACCCGAGAGACCAGACGCCCAAGTCTCCTGCATCACCAGCGTGCCCGAACACACACGTCGTGGCATGGAGGAGACGGGTCTTGAGAGAAACGGGTCCTGGACCACGGGGCCTTCCCCCAGGTTCTGACACTCCCAGGGCCTGTGGAGGACCCCGAGGGCCCGAAAGCGACGAGAAACCACAGGATCCGTTTCCCTCCGGAAACGTTTCTCGGGGGAGTCCAAGAGGGGGGGGCGTCCAAGAGAGGGGGGGCGCAAATCGTGGCCTGCGGCACGTGCGAGGCCTGGGTGGGGGGGGGGCGGGGACGCTCTGAAACAGGGAGTGGCGCCATGAGATGTCGGGAGACATCGTGGCCCCGGCCATGATGTCCCCCCCCCCCCAGTCGTCGCACCCCTCATGGCCGCCCCCGAGCTCCCCCCGTGGCGAACGTCGCCATCGCTCCCCCTCCCCCCGACGCCGGCGGGCTGGCGCGGGCCTCGCCCGCCAGCCCCAGGAACTGCTCCTGGACGGCCTGCCGGCCGGCCTGCCCGAGCGCCTGCGAGCGCGCGCAGACGGCGGGGGCCGCCGCCCGCGGCGGGGCACGGGGGGCGGCGGCGCCCTCCCGCCCGGAGGGGGGAGCGCGCGAGGCGGGGGGTTTGTCCCTATCCGCCGCCTGGGAACCGACGTCCTGGCGACCCAGCGGGCGGCAAAGACGGGTGTAGCTGGCCCCCCGGGGGCACGAAGGCACCCATGTCCACCGCCTGTCGAGGTCCGCGAAAGTCGATCCCCCAGGCGGTGGTCCTGGGAAAAACTCCCGCGGAGAACGATAGTAGGGAGAAGGAAACGGCCACACCACCACCACTACCACCACCACCACCGCCACCACCACCGCCGCCACCGCCTGGAGGATAGAGGCAAAGGGTGGGTGGTCAGGGGTGGTGGTGGTGGTGGTGGTGGTGGTGGTGGTGGTGGTGGTGGTGGTGGTGGTGGTGGTGGTGGTGGTGGTGGTGGTGGTGGTGGTGGTGGTGGTGGTGGTGGTGGTGGTGGTGGTGGTGGTGGTGGTGGTGGTGGTGGTGGTGGTGGTGGTGGTGGTGGTGGTGGTGGAGGTGGTGGTGGTGTTGGTGGTTGGTGTGGTGGTGGTGGTGGTGGTGGTGGTGGTGGTGGTGGTGGTGGTGGAGGTGGAGGTGGTGGTGGTGCTGCTGGTGCTGCTGGCTGGCTGGCTGGCTGGCTGGCTGGCTGGCTGGCTGGCTGGCTGGCTGGCTGGCTGGCTGGCTGGCTGGCTGGCTGGGTTGTGGTGGTGGGTGGTGGTGGTGGTGGGTGGTGGTGGTGGTGGTGATGTTGGTGACAGTTGTGGTGGTGAAAGTGGTGGTGTTGACAGTGGTGGTGGTGGTGAGTGGTGGGAGGTGATGATGGTGGTGGTGGTGGTGGGTGATGGTGGTGGGTGGTTGTGGTGGTAGGGTGGTGGTGGGTGGTGGTGTGGTGGTGGTGGTGGTTGTGTTGGTGGTGGTGCTGATGTGGTGGTGGTGGTGGTGGTGGTGGGTGGTGGGGGTGGGTGGGTAGTCGGTGGTTGGTGGTGGTGGTGGGTGGTGGGTGGTGGGAGTTGGTGGTGGTGGTGGGTGGTGGTATGGTGGGTGGTGGTGAGTGGTGGGTGGTGGGTGGTGGTGGGTGGGTGTGGTGGGTGGTGGTGGTGGGTGGTGGTGGGTGGTGGTGGTGGTAGTGGTGGGTGGTGGTGGTGGTGGTGGGTGGTGGTGGTGGGTAGTGGTGGTCAGGGGTGGTTGGGGTGGTTGGTGGTGGTGGTGGTGGTGGTGGTGGTGGTGGTGGTGGTGGTGGTGTGGGTGGTGGTGGTGGTGGTAGTGGTGGGCGGTGGTAGTGGTGGTGTGGTGGTGGTGATGGTGGTGGTGGTGGGTGGTGGTGGTGGTGGGTGGTGGTGGAGTTGGTGGTGGGTGGTGGGTGGGTGGGTCGGTGGGTGGGGTGGGTGGGTGGGTGAATGGGTGGGTGGGTGGGTGGTGGTGGTGGTGGTGGGTGGTGGGTGGTGGTAGTGGTGGTGTGGGTGGTGGTGGTGGTGGGTGGTGGTGGTGGTGGGTGGTGGTGGTTAGTTGTGGTGGTGGTGGTGCGTGGAATGTGGTGGTAGTGGTGGTGGTGGGTGTAGTGGTGGTGGTGGTGGTGGTGGTGGTGGTGGTGGTGGTGGTGGTGGTGGTGGTGGTGGTGGTGGTGGTGGGTGGTGGTGGTGGGTGGTGGTGGCGGTGGTGGTGGGCGGGTGGGTGGTGGTGGTGGGTTAGTGTGTGGTGGTGTGGTGTTGGTGTTGGTGGTGGGTGGTGGGTGGGTGGGTGGATGGGTGGGTGGGTGGGTTGGTGGGTGGATGGTGGTGGTTGGTGGTGGGTGGTGGTGGCGGTGTAGATCGTTTCGGGCACTCCCGCCCGTGGCGGGACACCGGGAGCGGCTGCGACCTCCCGCCCTGAGTGAAGGGGAACGATACAACCAAAACTGATGCTAAGGAGATGCGCTATCGGGATGCAAGCCCCTCGTACGCCCATGTCGAGGCTCTTCGAGCGGGGCTGGCCGTCGCAAGGGGTCAAGGATGGGCCGAGGAGGTAAGGACGCAAAGGTACCCTTGGGAAAGTTACCCATCCTTGCCATCGGTTTCGACTGTAGGGGGGGGTGAAGCCATCGAGCGCCGTGGGGTTCGAACAGCGGCGAGAGGGTGCGCCAGCGGCCACGGCAGTCCTCCAGCTGAGGGCCCCGAGGGAGCAGCTGCCAATGCGGGCTGAGGAGGAGGGCGGGGGGGCAGATTGCCTAAGTGACAGCTCAAGGGGGGGGGGAAACATCAAGACTGAATCGGCGATACATCGCCGATAGATCGGCGATGGGCCCCCAGGAGCGAATCCGAACGTTCTTATGCGGGGTGGGCTATTGGGCCCCCACTGGCGGTCAATTTGCGGTTGATGGTCGATGCATCCCCCCCTGAGCCCATCCCCCCGAACGTTGCCTCTGACTAAGACGAAGCACGAGCGGCGGACGTATCCGCATCCGCGCACTCGCGGTCTGAATTCCGGGGCGCGATCCAACGAGTACGCGGTCAAACGGAGACAGTCCGCACGTGGGGCATCCGCGAAAAAACGCCCTGTATCCGAGGGGTCGCTGCCCAGGGTCCTGGTGGGTGAGGCAGCGGATACGAATATGATTTTCGCCCGCGAACAGAATCGGGCTGAGATAAATGGGGGGCCACTGAGATCTGGCGGTTCTGGAGGATGGATCGGGCGCCGCGGCCGTTCCAAAGCGCTCTGGAGCGATCTGAGAGCGTCCTGGAACGCTCTGGAACGAATTATTCCTGTCGGACCGGACGCAGAGGGGGTAGCCATGGAGTAACTAAAAATGGTATCAGCACAAGCTGTCAGAGGTCCGCGCAAAATCCTTGAGTCTGCGCAGGAGCTCCCGCGCATTTCCACTCTCACGTCAGACATCACCAATTCCCGTCGTCTTCCCCTCCTCATCTTCTTTGAGAGAACGACTGCTGTGTACGCTGCACTGGTGCACAACCCCAACCCCCTACTGGAACTGGGACCCAGCCCCGCCCGAAAATCCCACCCTCTCCGAAACTGGGAGCCCACTTCCCCTCCCCAGCGAGAACGCCCCCCCTCTTACACCCCCCCCTTTCGCCAACGACGTCGACGACGAAGGAGACGGACGGAACGTTCAGACGGCCGGTCGGGGCACCAAATGCAATTAACCCGTTGATGATTGGGGAAAATGTATAACAAGCACCAGTGGACGGCAACGACGACGACGACTTCGGCCAGAACGTTCGGTCGGGCGGGCAAGCAGGATATTCAACGGAATCCTCACTCAATGACGGGACAAGGTTGGGGGGGAACATACAACAACCTCCGAATGAGGCGACGACGGCGACGACGACGACGACGACAAACTCTGGCGGAACGTTCAGTCGGGCGGGCGGGCAGGACATTCAGTGGAACCCTCACTCAATGACGGGAAAGGGTGGGGGGACACAAATCACAACCACCGAATAAGGCAGCAACGACGACGACGACGACGACGACGACGATCTCAGGCGAAATCCAGTCGGGCGGGCGGGCAGGACATTCAACGGAATCCTCACTCAATGACAGGACCAGGATGGCGGAAAACATGCGACCGAATAAGGCGATGACAACGACGACGACGACGACGACGACGACGACGACGACGACGACGACGACGACCTCAGGCGAAATCCAGTCGGGCGGGCGGGCAGGACATTCAACGGAATCCTCACTCAATGACTGGACAAGGATGGCGGAAAACATGCGACCGAATGAGGCGACGACAACGACGACGACGACGACGACGACCTCGGGCGAAAAGTTCAGTTGGGCGGGCGGGCAGGACACTCGACGGAACCCTTATTCAATGACGCGACAAGGATAGGGGGAAATCTATAACAAGCAAGGAAAAAGGCGACGACGACGAGTAGGCGGAACCTTCAGTGGGCGGGCGTGACGTAGTTGGTTGCATGTATTGTCTCGCCCGCCTGCCCGACTGCACGTGTCCTGGCCGTCGTCGTCGGAGGGATTGACCCCCCCGCCCAGACGTTGAGGCCCCCCCACCCCCACACCACCTCACCAAGCGTACACGGAAGGCGCTCGTTCTCTTCCTCCCTCACCTCCCCCACCCATCCTGTATTCCCCCTGCGCGTCCTAATTTGTAGGAAGGAGGAAGGAGGAGATCAAGGTTTGAGGTTTTCCTTTTACGGCGTGGCGTGGTTATCCAGTCGCACATGTCAGGAGCTCTCCAGCTTCGCTCGCAAAGCCTCGAGTCTCTCCAGGTAGAGGGACATCCTGTGCGCCGTGAGCGGGCTGACGCCGAACTGGGAGTCGGTGGCGATCCTGATCGGGCCGACGTTCACAGACGTGCCAGGCGTCCTCACCCAGTCGGCGTTCGAAGCGACGCCTGGTACCACGTCCCTGGTGTGCCAGAAGCTCGCGTGCGTGAGCTGCTCTGGCATGGGATTCCTCCTCGCATCGAAATAGAACTCGCGGTAGAAGCTGCTGTCCGCGACTGGCGGGGCCCCGAAGGTGACAGTCCGAAACACGCAGAAAGCATCTATACACCACCACCGTGCCAGGCCAGGGCCATCCTGGGCCCTAGGATGGTGTATACGCCCTCCTCGCCGAGCCAGGAGGGTCTATACACCATCCTACGGCCCAGGATGGCCCTGGTCTGGCACGGTGGTGGTGTATAGATGCCTTCGTCGGACGAAACTTGGTGGCCCCTGGGAAATACAGCCGCTTCAGGGCGTCCGCGGCCATGTGCGTGGCTACAGCACCCCCCAGGCTGTGGCCGGTGAACACGACGCTTGTGACCCGATCGAAAACGCCGCGATTCTGCTCCCGTGACTGCTCCAAAGCATCGCCGAGCGCCCTCCTGAAGTCCCGGTACTTCCGCCAGAACCCGTAGGCGACCCTGATGCCGGCCTCTCTCAGCTCCTCCTGCGCAGAGGGCAACACCATGCGCGCCGCGGGGTCGTCGTCTTCGGGGTCCACGGGGAAGGGCCGCGGGTAGTTGGAGAGGTTGTAGAGCCAGTCGCCCACGTTCTGCGTGCCCCGCTGCGCGACGAACAGCGTCTCGGGGCGCCGTCTGTCGATGCCCCAGACCGCGTGGTGGCTGACGCTCTGTGCAAACTCTTTGCCCCTGAACCTGCGGACGTCGGGCACGAGGTCGGCGACGTTCGCCAGGAAGTCTGGGGACGTGCGCCTGACGGCGTCCAGGTCGAACGTTCGCTCGCCGTCGTGCCAGCACGATCCGACGACCTCGAGATCGCCGTACGGCCGCCTCTCTCTCAGCACGGCGCGATCTACAGTGTCGTACGCGCGAAGGCTGAAGTAGGCGGCGGGCAAGTGAACCAGCTCGAGCTCAGCGTTGCTCTCGGCGCCGCGGAACTGCTCCACCTTGGCGGCGCGCACAAGGGGGTCGGGGGAGGGGGGAAGGCTTCTTAGGAGGCTGCTTCACAGAAGGCGCTGGCCCTGCATCTGCAGACGAGGCACGCGTCTTCCAGGAAGCAGGGGTGCGGTTCAAGAAGCCTTCCCCACCCCCCCTGCCCCCCTCTGCGCGTGGCTGACCACCACCCGCCTCTCGCGCTCGTCGGGGCTCAGGTCCCTGATGGTGCCGCGGAGGCTCGGCCTGCCCGCGGGCACGGCCTGCGCCTCCCTCAGCAGAGCGGCCGCCACTGCCACCAGCGCCTCCCGCGCGGAGGGCGCGCCAACCGCGGGGAGGTCCTTCAGCGCCCCGAGGCGCTGCGAGGCCGCCTCGCGGAGCCCCTCGAGGTCCAGGCTCCGCGCGCGATCCCCGAGCGCCGCGGCCGTGCTCGCGGCCAGCTCCGCCGCCGCGTCCGCCACGCGCGCCGCGCCCTCGGGGAAGACGTCCGCCGCCAGGCCGAGCAGCTCCCGCGCCCTCTGCCGCGCGAGCCCCTGGAGGTCCGCGCCCTGCAGCCTGTCCTGCAGCGCGGCCACGGCCTCGCTCAGCTGGCCCCTGGCACCCCGGAGAGTGCCGCCCGCGTTGGCCCTGAGGGCCTCGGCGGTACGCCTCTGGGGAAACCAACAGGCACCGCTGCAGCTGCCCCCCAGACCTCTCCCCGGGGCGCGTTCTGACCAGGATTTCGAGGCGAATGCAGCCGTGGCGAAGGGGCTCCCGGGCCGGAGGCCGACGAATCAAGCCAAAGGAACCGTGCCTGACCGGCACATCGCTTGCAGATCGCATGTGCGCGATTGTGTGTGTGTGTGCAGCAGCAGAGCCGGCGTGCTGCTGCACCCACGGAAGAGGCCGAGCCGGAGGGGACAACGGGAACAAGGGCAGCGGGCGCGCGCACCTTCTCCCCCTCTGGGCCTCAGGCTCTCCCTGGCGCCGTCCCCGAGCGATCCGCGCCGGGCGAGCGCGGCCCTCCCGCGCTGGCGGCCGCGGCCAGGCCCTGGCCGCTTCGACGCCAGCGCGCTGGCCAGGGCTCCGGCGCCCGCGGCGCCCGCGGCGCCCGCGGCGCGCGGCGGGGGCCAGGCGCGGCGGGCCTCTCCGCGGGCGTGCCGCTGACGGGCCGCCGCTGCTGGGCCAGCCGAAGCAGGCAGCCTCAAGGCCATCTGTGAGCCAAGGGACAGCCGCGCGCACGGACCGGCCCACTTTGGAAGGGGGGGGGCGATCAAATGCGAAGAGGGGAGAACCAGGGTGCCCTTGTCGGGTCCGAAAGGCCCCCTTCTGGGCCCGAAAGGGCCCCTTAGGGGCCCCAGAGGGCCCCTTCTCTGCAGCCCTCGCTGCCCCCTCCCCCATTTGTCGCGCCCTAGTGGCAGTGGGGGTGGCACGAAGGGCCTGCTCGGCTGAGCCAAAAAGGCTGCGAATCGAGTCGAGGATCGAGGTTCGAGTAGGAGGAGGAGGAGGAGGAGGAGGAGGAGGAGGAGGAGGAGGTTCGAGTGGGAGATGGAGGCGGAGGAGGAGGAGGAGGAGGAGGAGGAGGAGAGAAGGAGGAAGAAGAAGATCACTGGTTGTAACGTGTTTCGGCCTTTTTGCTGCCAGCGGGGGATTTCGGGAGACCTCTGGGGAGGGAAGAGGGGGAAGGGAAAATGGAACCTGACACCAGCCATCTGAAAATCAGGGCGTCTGGGAGGGGGGGGCCTCCGAATGTCTGCACTACTGCGGAAAATGGCTTTGGCTATCACATGCTGGTGTCTGATCACCCGTTACAAGCGGCAGCAAGACAGCAAGGCCAGACTGTACTACGCGTCGCATGTGAACTGCCCAGGCATAATGGAAGACCAGAACATTGGGGGCGCTGAGAGAGTGAGAGAGAGGGAGATAGAGACAGAGACAGAGAAAGAGAGAGAGAGAGAGAGCGAGAGACAAAGAGAGAGAGAGACTAAGGAACGAACGCAGACGTGCAGCATGCTGCAACCTAGAGCAGGCGCACGAGCAAGCAGAGGAGCCTCCACGCGGCCATCGGGCAGCATAATGGATGAGCACCGATCCAGGATACTCTCTGGCGCGCCCTCCCCTGGCAAGCACCCCAGCTTGACCCTGAACGTGTATCACAAGGTTCATGTCTCTCTCTTGCCGCGCCCCACATCGAATCTTCGATCCGTCCGCCTCGTCTTTCTCATCATGATGTCAATCCCTTCGCTCGTTGGTTGTCCTTCGGCTTACTTCCTCAACAGGCACGGTTCTTACAAAAAAACGGAGGAGGAAGAGGAGGGGCACATCAGGAGGGTAAGGAGGGGAGGGGGCACAGGAGGGGGATGAGGAGAGAGAGGATGGGGAGAGGAAGGGGAGGAGTGGATGGAAGGGGTATCCACCCTGCAAACATGCTACTGCTCCACGTTATGCTGCAGCTTGACCAGTGTTAATGAGAGACCCGTCTCGCGCGACTACACTGAGAAGGCGATGGCGACGCCGCCAGAAGGACCTCAGGGCCGACGCAACTCCCTGAAGCCTCGATGATAATAGAACCCGTAGGAAGGTGAAGATCCTCCCTGGAAGACTCAGCACGTCTGGAATCGAAGAACCCGCAAGAGCGGTCACGAGAGACGGGCCTCTAAGTGTACTTCCCGTCTGCCCTGCAAGCCCACGGCCGTCCTTGACATACAGAACGTTTCCACTCTGAGAGCGGTCGGAACCTAATACTGCCATCGACTTCCGGGTCGGGGAGAATTCCAGTACAGCCTCCCAGTGCTCTTCCCGCGGCTCTCAAGCCAGATCGTTCCAAGCAAACCTGGTGGCGCGACCATGATCGTCAAGGCTGCCACCACAGACACCATTGCTGCTGCGCGCTTCTCCTGCTCACGAGCCGCGCTTGACCCTGTCTCCTCGTGCTCCCTCTCCGCAGACAACATTCCCGAGCAAGCACATCCATGGCGCGTTATTGTTATACTCATCGTTGCTTCGCGTTGCCTCGTGCTGACACGTGGTGAATGCTGAGTGCCTGAGTGGACATTAGGACGCTCGTTCCCGCGCTGAAACTGGGAGGGGCGGGCAGAACGAGACGGCAGACCAGCGCGGCAGACGAGCATGGCAAGCCACCCCACGCCGTCTTTACGTGCTCTGGACGTGCACCCCGCGAAGCGAGAGGAATCGAAAGGCAAACCCATGTGCGAACAGTACGCATATCGGCATCTAAATCGAAGCGCTGACCGAAAAGGGAATATAGACGCATGTCGAAATTCATAACAAAGTGCACACTGACATGAAAATCGAAAACCATGCCTAGTCAAACGTTAATCGATATGAACATCGAAATGCACATCGGAATTCAAATCGTAATAAACATCGAAACGCAATCCTTATGCAAAAAGAATGCAAGTCCCCCCCACCCCACCACCCCACCTCCAACGGAATAAAAACGTATCCCCGAATGGTGGCTTATGAGGTATACCCAAAGGCACCCTCCCCAGGATAATGAAACCCACCGCAGCAAATTCACGGTAGGCTACACGCATGCACGAATGTGACCACATGCGTGCGTGCATCGTCGCAGGTGCACCTTCACGGCCAGACGGGTGCGCTGGGTTGGCCCACGTGCGTACGAGCGCTGCCGTGACACCCCAGCTGGGACAAGCCACGCGGCGGTGGCCAGGGCCTCGGTGGGGCCACGCTCGCGCCGCCACGGTGGCCCTGGGCTCCCTCGGTGCGGATTGCCCCTGGACGCCCCGCTGGCCCTCCCGAGCGAGTCCCTGGCGCGTCCCTGGCGCCCCACCAGCTTCGCCACGTCCTCTGACCAGTACGACGAGAAGGCCATGGCGTCGCGCGAAGTTCTCCTGCTCTTCTGCAGGCACCTTCGGGCACAGCTCTCGTTCGATCGATGGACTGATCAAGTTGTTGAAGCAAGACTGACCCGCCCATATCAATAAGGGGTGGGACGGGAGATAAGCAACGCCCCCTGGCCCCTGGCTGCTACAGGCTCCGTCTCAAACTCCCTGCCCGTTCCTGCGTCTGCGCCCGAGCGTGCATATATGGAAGGATGGGTTTGTGATGTCGTTCCAAGCTGCAACGAGGTCATGAGGAGAAAGTGAACTCAAAACAATTCTCGTTCTGGCCCCCATCACCCACTGGCGCGGAGCGACATGGCGAGCTGTACTGTTTCTCTGCGTGCCTCCTCCGCTTGCCCTCTGGGCGTCAACATCGCACCACGGAGGGAAAACCTGAGGCTAAACGCAAATCCAAATGTGTTGCTAAAATGAAGATCGTTCAATGATCCACGACCTCGGGGAGACCCAAATTGGTGAGATCCACCAATACACAGGGGTTGAACAGACCAAACGCAAAGACGGACGCTGTCCAAAAGCGAGGGCCCAGCAGAAAATCTCGAGAACATGGTAACACAACACTCCAGATGGGTAGTAGCCTTCATAAGAGGATCGCTGCCCAAATTGTACACATTTAGAATGCCACATCATTGAACTCGGCAAATGAGATCTCCAAGTAGGTGTTTGGGATCCCTCGCGGCATGCACACCGCTACGAGGCCTCCAGAGAGGCACCCAAGTCCCCCAAGAGGCCTCCCAGAGGCCTCCCAAGAGGCCCAAACGAAGCTCCCACGAGTCCACAAAAGGGCCTCAACAGGCCTCCAGTAGACCTATTATCCTCCTCGCCCTCTCCCTTTTACACTTGTTCCTACATCTCCTCCTCCTCTTCCTGCTCCTCCTCCTCCTCATCTGCATTCCTCCCCGACATGTTCCCTCAAGGCACATAGTCCAAGAGATTGGCCAAACGTTGGCACAACGTTTAGCCACATCAGAATTTCCAAAAAGGCAAGGGGCGGCGGTGACTCGCCGTCGGCGTCTTCGGTCGCCCCCCCCTTCGCGTGCTAAACTTTGCTTGGCGCGCAAAGGGGCGCAAAGGACGTTTAAAAGTGGTTGGATCCCTTCCTCTGGCCACCCGGAACTCGATCCTCTGGCCACCCGGAACCCGCCAGAAAGGAGGGCCCCCAACGGCTGCTCCGCCGAAAAAGGCTCCAAGAGGGCCCCCACGAGAGCCTCGGTCGTCGTCAAAGACGCCCAAGATGGCAAAGGTTGCAGCCAAAATAGGCGAAGATGGCTCCAAGAGGGCAGCAGATGCCCCAAAGAGGGCCTCAAGACGGCCCAAGAAGCCTCCACGACGCCCCAGGAGCAGGAGAGCTCCAAGAGGACACCCAGAAGGGCATCCAAAGGCTAAAGCCAGTGGCCGATTCCTGAAACCCTGAGTCCGAAAAATGTTGTCATCTCTTGGGAGGCCGAAGTTTACTTGCGCCGACTTCCGCTGGCAAAAGCGTCCTCGTGCTACTTCCACCGCCTTCCGCCGACCTTCCACCGCCCTCCGCCAGGGAAGAGATGCCGACTCCTTCGATCCTGCCCTTTCTGGAACAATCAAAAAATGGGTCTTACGCGAGCTTGTATAGCGACCTGATGCGGTGGCTTAAGCGTGCTGCCAGCGGGGCACGCTACACTGGAAGCGAGAGCGCTTACGCGCGACCTTACTCGAGGAACTTACGCGCCAGTGTCGGCGCAGTCGAACCCGTGCTGTCTTGCGTCGCTCAACTGGGTTCTCTGTTGCCTGTTTACTTGTCTCGCGCTCTGTCCCCAGTGTGGCCCCGACGGCCCGAGACAGCCCAGGAGGCAGGCCCTCGAAGGCCGCCCCAAGACGTTTCCAAAAAAGGCCCCCCAGAGGGGCTCCACGGTGGCCCAACGGGGAAAGCCCACCGGGGGGGGCCACGACGGCCCAGGAGAGGTCCCCGGGACGGCCTCGGAAAGAGCCAAAAACAGCCCAGGAGCGCCACGAGATGGTGCAAGGGTCCCGGGATGGCCAGAGGGGACCCGGGCAGGCCCGCGGAGAGGCCCCCAGAAAACAAGAAACGACCACCAAGACAGCCCCAAAACTGCCCCAGCGGTTTCCCCAGCGGGTTGGGGGGGCACGCGTTCCAGTAGCGTGGCCAAACTTTCGCTCGAGGTTTCACGACGCAGGTGCTCCCACAAGGCAGGGGGCGGCGGTGACTCGCCGCAGGCGTCTTCAATAGGTATGTGCAGATATGAAAGCTAGACGGATGGAGGGCTGATCCTTTAGAAAACCAGGGCGCTCGCTTGAATGACAGTCCCGTGGGCGTTCGTTTGTTTGTTCAAAGGGGGACGCTTCCCCTGATTGAAACGACATGGAAGAGCGTTCAGACCTGTGCGGAGGGACGTGGGACGGGGTGTATTACAGCATCGGTGTTGAATCGTGGGATTAATCTGGTCTCCTCCTCAGCATCATCATAATCAACATAATCATCAGCAGCATCAGCAGCAGCAGCATCATCAGCAGCATCAGCATCAGCAGCAGCATCATCCTCATCCTCATCCTCATCCTCATCAGCATCAGAATCATCATCAGCAGCATCATCCTCATCCTCATCCTCATCCTCATCAGCATCAGCATCATAATCATCAGCAGCAGCAGCAGCAGCAGCATCATCATCATCATCATCATCATCATCATCATCATCATCATCGTCATCATCATCGTCATCATCATCATCATCATCATCAGCATCAGCATCAGCATCAGCAGCAGCAACCTAATCACCATAATCACCGATACCATCACCAGAATCACCATCATTATCAGCACCATCCACATCCTTATCGTAAGTATCATCATCAGCAGCATCAGCATCACCACCAACATAATCATCATCGTCAGACTCATAAGCATAATCCTCAGCAGCATCAGCATCAGCATCAGCAGCAGCATCATCCTCATCCTCATCCTCATCCTCATCAGCATCATAATCATCATCATCATCATCATCATCATCATCATCATCATCATCATCGTCATCATAATCGTCATCATCATCGCATCAGCATCAGCATCAGCAGCAGCAACCTAACCACCATAATCACCGATACCATCACCAGAATCACCATCATTATCAGCACCATCCACATCCTCATCGTAAGTATCATCATCAGCAGCATCAGCATCACCACCAACATCATCATCATCAGACTCAGAAGCATAATCCTCAGCAGCATCAGCATCAGCATCATCAGCATTGTGATCAACGTCAGAATCATCATCATCAGCAGCAGCATCATCATCACCATCATCGACATTGGCATCACCATCAGCATAATCTTCATCCCTCCTTCTCTCCCTCTTCATCATCATCATCATCATCATCAGCATCATCATCATCATCATCATCCTCATCATCATCATCATCATCATCATCATCATCATCATCCTCATCATCATCATCATCATCATCATCATCATTATCGTTAGCAGTAGCATCACCACCACCACCAACATCACCACCACCACCACCAGCATCACCATCGACTCGTTCTCACCATCATCATCAACGGCATGTCATCAACATCATCATCACCATCATCAGCATCACCATCACCATCACCATCATCATCAACTTCACCATCGTCATCCTCGACAGAATCATCATCAGCAGCATCATCATCATCAACATCATCATGACCAGCATCACCATCATCATCATCATCGTCCCTCCATGTCCCCCCTTCTCAGCATCATCGTCATCGTCACCACCACCAACACCAACACCACCAGCACCATCATCATCATCCTCATCATCATCATCATCATCACCACCACCACCACCACCACCCACATCATCATCATCATCATCATCAGCATCATCAGCATCACCATCATCACCACAACCATCAGAATTATCATCCTCAGCAGCAGCAGCGTCATCAGCATAACCATAACCATAACCATCACCATCACAAGCATCATCATCATCATCATCATCATCATCATCATCATCATCATCACCATCCTCATCCTCATCGTCATCGTCATCGTAATCGTCATCGTCACCACCACCACCATCATAGTCCTCCTCCTCGTCCTCCTCCTCATCCTCCTGCTCCTCCTCCTCCTCCTCCTCCCCCTCCTACTCCTCCCCCTCCCCCGAGCGCCTGGTGCAAAGGGCAGTGTCTGGACAGCCGAGCTTCTCCACCAGCACCCTCAACGCCGCCTCCGTCGGCTCGCCTACCAGAGAAGCTCGTCACAACCCGTGCGCCAAGGCATCGAAGAGGAGTGGCAGCAGGACTAGCCAGCAGGAGAAAGAGGATCGCTACCACCACCACCACCTGGCTTGCTCGATCGACTGGGCAGCTCATGGCTGCAGCTGTGGCTCTGCGACTGACGCTCCAGAAGACAGAAAGGCAGGGCGGCCAAGGCCGCAAAAAACGCCCAAGCCGATGAGGGCGACGACCACGACGACGACGACGACGACGACGACGACGACGACGACGACGCGACGGCCCCACGGCACGCCAACCTGCCACGTCTGCGGGCAGGCGGCCCGAAGGGGTGCCTGCTGTGACTCTCGCGCCCTGCGGGCTCGCATGCGGCGGCCCCCGGGCGTGCGAGTCTGCGGCCGGGTGGCCCTGGCCGTGCACAGGGGGCAGGTGGGAGCGGGAGCGCAGCGGGAGCAGGGAGGCCTGGGCCGTGCAGAGCTAGCAGGCTCGAGCAGACGAGGCAGGAAAATCGAATGCACACAAGAGCGACCCTTGGTACGCGGCAGGGGACCGCGACGGGCCCAAAATCCCAACGCGCGGGCCAGTGCTGGGGCCACCCCTGCAAGCCCGCAGCAAAGGCACGTCTGGCGAAAGGTCACTCTTACGCGTAGCCATCGTCGTCGTCGCCGCCGGCGTCGTCGGCGGCGGCGGCGTCGCCGACGCTGTCGCCGTCGTCGTCATCGTCGTGGCCGCCGTCGTCGTCGTCGTCGTCGCCTCCGCCTGGGCCGCCGCCGTCGTCGTCGTCGTCGTCGTCGTCGACCTCCGCCGAAGGGCCGCCGAGGGCCTCCGAAGGCCTCCGAAGGCCGTCGAAGGGCCTCCGAAGGGCCGCCGAAGGGCCGCCGAGGGGCCGCCGACGGGCCGCCGAAGGGTCCCGACAAGGGGCTCGCGCTTCCGCGCTGGGCGCAGGGCGTCGCTGCTCCTCCCGGTCGTCCCCTCGGCCCGCAGGGGCAGCCCAAGAGGACCCGTCGGGTGGCCCAAGAGAGCCCCCATGCGACCTCTCAGCCGAGGGACGACGATGACGACGACGACGACGACGACGACGACGACGACGACGACGACGACGACGAAGGCCGCGGCGGCGAAGATGGCCCGAAACAGCCCGGGGAGCCCCAGCAGGGCCCAGAAGCCTTGGCGAGACAAAAAACGTTGTCATCCCACAGATGCTTACATTGCGCTCGCAGGTTCACCCTCTCCGTCTTCAGAGCGTCCGAGACGGCACAAGAGGCCCCCAAGAAAATTCCAAGACGCCCCAAGGGCGTCGAAGAGGGCCCCAGGAGGACCCCTCGAGGGCCTCAGAGGATCTCAAGAGGGCTGGCGTGCGGCCTAAGACGACCCAAGAGGGTCCCAAGAAAGCCGCAGAAAGCCCCGAGCGTGAGTGACCTTGTGTGTCTGCGAGGGTCTGAATACGAGTGCGCTTTCGCTTATGACTAAGCCTGCGTATGAGCGACCCCGGGTACGAGTGAGTCAGAGTATGAGTGGGTACGGGGGACGAGGCAGGTGGTGAGGAGGAGGAGGCGGAGGCGTGAGACGAATGACAAGAATTCCGTACTCTGGCTATGGGTGAACAAAACGAAGCGAGGCTTGCTTGCGACACGCTTCGACGTCAGATGGCCTCGGGAAGCCTTCTGGGAGGCACACGAAGCCTCTAACATGGTTAGGTCCCCAAGATGGCCCCAGGAGGCTCCCAAAACAGACCCAGGAAAACCCGAGAGGGCCCAAAGACGGTCCCAAGATCAGCCCAGACTGCCAAACCATGGTTCGACCGAGCAGATTCGGGAGAACCCGGCATAACCTTAGCGCACAAGACAACCACTAAACCCCCAACAAGCCACCAAGAAGCCACCCAGAAGCCCCTGTACAAACTGCCTAACACGGCCACCACACCCCCAACCGGCCCCGAAGGCACCCTCGGAAACCCTCCCTACAACACCCATGAGGCTTTCAAGACAACCCCAGGAGGCCCCGAGGAGGCCTCCCATAGACCTTCGACATACGCGACGCCATCGAGATGCGACCAGCGCGCCCCTAACACGTACCAGTCGCCAGATATCGCCAAATAAATAAAGTGCATTTGAACCCCCATGGCGCGCGGAGCACCCCATGGGCGGCGCAGGATGCGCCGCCAGGGGGGGGCCGCGCCGATCCTAGAAATCCGCGCAGAACTCCGAAAGCTTATGTGTTTGCCGTTGTTGCTTGCAGTGGAGACCAGCAATCTCCGCGATCAGTCTACACTTAGGACGGGCACGTCCCCTTACAGGCGGATTTTGGACGAAAGCTACAAAAATACTCAAACAAACCAAACATAGTCCAAAAATAATCAAAAATCGACCCCCGACAAATGTTTTTACTATTTGTTAACATTCCCCTGTTGAGGGACATGCCCGACTTAAGCCTGCACACTCCTCCGAAATCCCCCGCATACCTCGCTCGCCGTCTCGTCTCTCCCCCGGCACGCCGTGGCGCCCATGAAGAGCCCAGGCAAAGGTCCAGAGAGCAGACCAGAGGAGGCAGGGGGCAAAATGAGGCAGCAGAGATAAAGAAAGAACAAACTGCATCATCATGTACCAATCGGTCGGAAGAAGTAGGTAGAAACATGAAGTAGGAAGGCGTTGAAAGAAGATTGGGTGTCTGCCCGCCCCCCTGGGAGGACGGAAGGGGCCACGCCACTCGATCACTGAAGTAGGAAGGCGCTTAAAGTAGATTGGAATCTGGGAATCCGAAAATAAACGAAAAGACAACGACAACAGGAATCCCCCCACAACAGACAGGACAGGACGAGCGCAAGGACGCTGGGGTGAACAAGATAGGAGAGGATGAGCGCAAAGACGCAGAATCGAGTACGCCACACACACACACACTGACACAGAAACGGACAGGCGACGACGACGGTAGGGGCGTGGCTCGCCTGTTCGGATGCACCGACCGGACAGGTCCACGCTTAGGCGCGACTCGTTGCAGATAGAAGCGACCCTGGCCAGCATGCAGATGGCCTCGAGGAGACAAATGGAGGAGAAAGCGGAGAGGACACGACGCTCCATGAAGCAACGGACATGCTGAGCCAGGACCGTGCCAAGCAGCCAACACTTCCCGCTGCCAAAAGCCGAGGGATGGTAGGACAACTCGCCACCTGGGGCCCGCCACCAACCCGTACGGCGAGACTGGTTGAAACTACCAGGGGTGTGTACCGGCCATGTGGCGCGCCATGGGTTGCGCGATCCATGGGTTGCGCCTTCGGCTGCGTCGTCCATGGGCTGAGCCATGGTTTGCGCCGAAGGCCAAACATTTGGACGCCCGAAATAAGTACGGAAAATATGGGTACAATGCCCAACAAAACATGTTGTCTCAAACAAACAGCGGCCGCTGTTGGGCAGGCGGCCTTCCGTCTCAAATGGACACAGGCCTCGGCGACACCGACAGCGAGCCCTGTTCACAATGAACAAGAACTGCTGTTGGGCATTGTACCCATTGTTTCCGTACCCATTCCGCTCGTGCCGAAAAAGCAACAAATCCCGAATGGGACGTGATTCGGAAGCCGGAAGCAGACTGCACTGTCGGAGGCGTAAGCTGCTGCACCTTCCGGAGGGGCCCCTAGTCGGCCGAAAATTGCCCCACCGAGCCGAGGTGCTTCCCAGGACCGAAAGCTGCTGCACTGAGCTGGAGCGCCTTCAGCCCCCATTCGGCCTAAAGGTAACTGAGGCCATGTGGGCCGGACTTGTTGTGTCCCGCTCAAGGGATGTACTTTTAGTCTGCTGCAAGTGCCCCCAGGCCGACCGGCTAGCTCATGACAAAGCTTCACGAGTGTGATGTAGTGACATGTGCGAGCGCCACTCGCCGCCGTTCGGCTCTTAGGGGCCCCTTCTGCCAAGGCTGAAAAAGCATTGTCACTCACAGTGGTCGTTCCCTCCCCCTCTCTCCCCGTGCCTCTCATCGAGAGTGGTCCGACGTTGTGGGGTTGCTGTCGGCCGCCCGCTGGGCCCCGCAGATATTCGCTATGATTGAAGGGACTGGGCCCGCAGTCCCTAAATGCCACCTTGCTGGGAGGTCACCAACCAACTAACCCTTCCTCCTCTTCCTCTTCCTCCTCATTCTCTTTCAGCCTTGTCTCGCACCCAATCGATGGAGAGGTCTTCCACCGTGCCGATGGGCGCATAGGTGTGGCCCTCTACCGTGTGGCACCTCCACAATCGAAATGGGACCAGGGCAGGGAGCCAACGATGGAAAAACTGGCATGAGCTGGCTGAGCCAGCAAAGATTGTACAGCTATGAGTTGCGGCCACGGTCGCGAAAACATGAGCGCTTGTGTACCAGAGTAGGTCAAGAAATGGTGCGTGAGCGTTCATGCCATGTGCGGGATTATTAGAAGTAGTATTGCGCAAACAACGAGAACGGGTTCCGGGGTACTAGGCAGACTGAAAGGCTAAACAAATGTTTCGGCAGTCTTCGGCCTGGTGTACCAGAGGCACTGGCCCCCAGCTTGTAGGAATTCTAAGCGTCCCTGCACCGGCGCGCGTGACCTGACCCGATGGGAACAAAATGTCCAACATGCCCTCAAATGGTCCTGTGCCGTCTTGAAAAGCCTGGGCGCCAATCCAGGAACCCAAAGCCACCGAAAACATATGCTGCTGCATCACTCTGACATTTTCACCTTTCGGTGATGAGCGCGTCAGAAGACCCCCCAAATGCTGCCCCAGGACCCAGGACGGCCCTGGAGGCCCCCAAAAACGGCCCAACAGGCTCGCAAGACGGCTCCCAGGGGTGGCCGACAAAGCGCACAACTACCTGAAGCCAAAAAGCCTCCTCTCTAAGATGGGCCTAAGACCCCATGGAGGCCCCCAACGAGCCACTGAGGGCACTCGAGACCTGCAAGAGACCCCAAAAAAGGCTCCCAAGAGGCGCCGGCGAGGCCCCGGATAAGATCCAGGAGCCCCAATAGGCCCAAGTCAGAAGAAGACGCGGCCTCCCCGACCATGTCCCAACTGCACTTCGCGCCCACTGCCCAAGCACGGTGGGGGGATGCAAGCACGTGTGCGCACACGGACATGGACACACATGCGCTTCGTGCTTCAGATCAGAACAACCGTGGCACACATCACACTCACACACCCTCTCTCTCTCTCTTCCAAGCGCACGCGAGCGGGACGAGGAACCACCCAGCCGTTCACGAGTCAAGTCGATCTAAGCCGCGCAGGGGGAGACCACCAAGAATCAACACTGGTGGGCCGCCAAGTGCAAGGGGGTACGGCCAGACCTAGAGCAGAAGAGCATCCTTCAAGAACATGAGAGCCTCCGCAGGCCAAGCACCTTCGAGGGTAATTACCCCCTCCCCCAGGATGCACAAGAATCCCCAACAAACACGAAGGACATCAGGTGGGGAACAAGCAATGGCACAAACATGAAAGCTCGGAGGTCCGCGCAGATTCCTCGGATCGGCGCTGGACCCCCCCTCCCTGGCGCGCGGAGCGCGCTAGGGGCGCCGCCAGGGGTCCCCAGCGCCGAGCTGAGGAATCCGCACGGACCTCCGAGCTTTTATGTCTGTGCCATTGCTTGCTCCCCGAACTTGGATACCCCCCCCGAACCGACCTCGATCTTAGGCCTCGGCCCGACCGTGCTCGAGCTCGCTCTGGAGACTGCGCCGATGCGAAGCGGACGTGGACGGGGCCTCCCACCCTCGGGCGGGCCCGCGGCGTGGTGCGCCCCGGAGCGTGTCGCAGAGCGGCCGCGGCGCCCGACGCGTCCTCCAGACCCGCCGACTCTCGGAGCTCCCCGACTCATCCCGGTCCGATGACGTCTGGCCGTCAGCGCCGGCCCCTCACGGCCCTGAGGCCCCGGCGTCTCGACGTGGTTCGACCCGGGCGTCGTCGCCTCCTGTTCGGGCCCGGGGGCCCTTGCAGATCGATCCAGCTCGAAAGCTGACGCGGGAGGATGGGGTCTGGGGCTCTGGGCGTGACTTCGCGCGATGCTGCAATTTCCTCGCGACGCCGGATCTCAGGAGAGGCAGTGGCGGGGAGCGGCGGGCGGCGGCGCCACGCGGGCGCCAGCGGGCAGGGGCCCCAGCCTCGGAAAGCGGCGGCAGGGAGGCGGGCAGTGGGAGCGGGGCCAGCAGCGCCGGCAGTGGACGCGTCCAGGGGCGCGTGCGGTGGCGAGCGTCGCCAGGGCGTCGAGGAGCAGCACCCGCCGCGCGCGGGAGACCTCTGGGAGGAGGCCGGAGCCGAGCCGCGTCAGAAACTGCAGACGATCGCTCCCTGCCGTGAGGAGCCACGGAAGCCTCAGAGAAGCAAGAAGAGGCCCACGCGCAGGGCGCGCGGGGGTCCAGGGCACGCCAGCGATCCTCTCGGCGAGGCCGTCGTTGTTGATCCGCTGGCGGCGCGCGACAACGCCAGACTGTGGCGGGTCGCACCGGTCCGAGAACCGGCGCGGAGGCGCCGTCCGAGGACCTTTTGCGAGAGCGCGGCAGCGCGGAGGGGACCGAGGGGCTGGGCACGTCGACAAAGCAGACGAAGAGCCAGGGCGGACCGGGAGGGGGGGACACACCAGCATGCTCCCGAACCCAGGCGCACCGTCGAACCTCACGGCGAAGCCGTCGCCATTGATCCAGTGGCGGCGTGAAACTTGCAAAGACAGGAAGAAACTGTGGCCACAGGCCGCTCAGCAGGGGGGGGCACCAGTCAGAACTGACTGGCGGGGCAGCGGGGGGCGGCGGGTCTGAGCCACGCGGCCTGGAAGCCGACGGCCAGGGAAGACCGACGGGGCAAACGGGGGAAGCGGCGCCGGCGCCCAAAGCCCAGCACCGACCGGCACAAGCGCACCACTGGGGGGAGGGGCGTGGAGGTGTGCAGGGCGCCAGGCGCGCGCGGGGCGGGGCGGACCACCGTTCCTCGCAGCGAGGCCGCCCCTGTTGACCCAGTGGCCGCGCGAAACAGGGGCGGCGGGGCGCAAGCTTTGCGGCGAGAGGGGCGGGCCCACGATCCTCGAGGGGAGCCGTCTCCGCGGCCCCGGGGGCGCCGCAGGAAGCAGCATGGCGGGGACTGCATGGCTCCATCACCAAGCCAGATGACGCAGCTGCACAGAGCGGACGCAGCAGGGCGGCGAGGCAGGAGCGCGGGCGGATGCAAAGCGGACGGGCTCAGGCTGTCCCGCGGCGCCCAGCCGTGCAGCGGGAGTTCGTAGAGAGGCAAACATCGATTCCCGAGGCAAGGCCGTCGCCGCTCCTCCGATGGGGCCCCTCGGAGAGCCGCCTCGTGGGAGTGCGGCGGCAGCGTCTGGGGGCGCAGCCGCTGGCGCAGGGCTCCTCCTCCTCCTCCTCCGAGATCCGACGTCTCGGAAAAATTGCGCGTGAAAAATCACGACTGGAACCCAGGACCCCATCTTCCTGCGCCATGTTTCAAGCCGGATCGATCTGTGAGGGCCCCAGGGCCCGAATCTGGGAGAAAAAGTCGGCTCGAAAACATTGAGCCGCCAGGATCTCAGAGGTGGAACCAGGCGCAGCGAGTGCGGTCTCAGAGGTGGAACCAGGCGCATTGAGCCGCCATGATCTCCGCAGCGCCACTCTGTCAAATGCAGCCAAGCGAGCGCGCTGCGGTCCGGCCACGGCGGCCAGGGGGCCGGCGCAGCCTTGGGCTGCCTCCAGCTGGGCGTGGAAGGGCGGAGGCCCGACCTCGCGCCGCAACCGCGGCGGGAGGTCCGGTTCGAGGGCCTCGAGCCCTCGGGGGCCCCCCGTGCTCGGAGCGTCCCGGCGAGCTCCCGAGCGCTGCGCGTGGCGCGGGGGCGGCGCCTGGGAGGCGGAGGCCGAGCGAACCGCCGCGGCAGGCGCGAGCGGGGCCGCTCGAGCCCCTCAGCTTCGCAGGTCCTTCTGCAGGAAGGCCGGAGGACGCTGCCACCAACCCTCGTCGACGTACCCCGCGTCGACCGCCTCGAAGAACCTGCGGAAGGCGAGGATGGGGAGCAGGCGGACGTCGCTGCCCGTCTGGTGGTTGGCCGCCGCTACGAAGGCCCGCCAGTTGCCCCGCATAGAGGGGTGTGTGCGGCGGAAGCGTGGCTTCCTCGGCTGGACCACTCCACAGGCGAGCCCGAAGCGGGGAGGTAGGACGCCAAGCGCGCTGAGTGCCCGTACGCAGAACGTAAAAAATCGTGGAGACTGCGGTCAGAAAGGCGGGCGGGATCCCGCCCGCTTTTTTCAGCGCAGCGCGGCACTGCTGCACCCGGCGCTGCGCCTAGGTGTAGCCGATCCCGATCCTGCAGTACATGTTGACGCGATGACCCTGGTGCCACACACACACTATATTTGTTTCTCTTTTTTTTTTCTCTCTCTCTCTCTCTCTCTCTCTCACACACACAATGATCGCGTCGCGGCCACGCGCATAACGTCGCGGCGTAGACAGTCGGGCGAAGAGACGCCTGCGGCTGGCCCAGGTCACGCGGCGAGGGGATACTGGCCCCGCCCATACACACACACACACACTGTTTGACGACCGCGGCCCCGCGCGCAGCGACGAGGCGCAGTAAGTCAAGCACAGCGGACGGGGCCCCGCGCGCGCCGGCCTCAAGAAGAGGACCGCACGATATGCCAGCTGGGCGTGGGCGGCAGGGAGAAAGGGAGGGCGAGAGACGAGGCCGACCTGGGGAAGCAATCCACACGGCTACGAGCGAGGGCAAGAATGAGGGAATGGCAGACGCTCAAGGAGCGGATTACGGCTACGGACGAACCAGAGAGAGGCGAGCGGGAGGTGGCGCACGGTCGGAGGAAGAGGACCGAAAGTGCAGCGCCCTGGCATGGGCTGGCCGTGAGGTCGGGAAACACACACACACACACAAACACATCGGGGAATCGTAAAACTCGGGTTCGGAGAACTCGGGTTGGCCTGACGGCGCCATCATGAAAATGACGAGACCCAATCTGAGATTTGGCGCT